TTAGGAGGGTGTATTCAATTAAGATTTTAATGGATTATTTTGAAGCTTAAAAGTACAGCAGTATTCAATTAGGATTTTTAAGTAAACAATAAAAGTCTGGTGGTATTCAATTAGGATTTTTAAATAATCAATACAAGTCCGGTGGTATTCAATTAGGACTTTTAATAGATAAGAAAAAGTACTGTGGTATTCAAAAACTTACTGATTTTAATGTATTTCATTAAATGGTGTATTGTGTGAGACTTTTGAGTGTGTGATATATATACCAAATCACATAACAAATCACACCCTCCTATGCATGATTCTCATATATGCTCTCATACTTTTTCTTCCCCATTATTTTTTCATGCCTTTTACTGTATATAAAAAAAAATTCATAAGAGAGACGATAAAGGGTCCACATCACAGCACAGTCCCCCTTTTTCCTCCTTTCCCTCCACCTCTTTTTTTTCTTCTAATTTTTTCTTTCTTTCCTCCTTCCTCCCCTGACCCCTCTTTCTCCTTCGCACTCTCCTCTCTCCCTCAGTGTTTAGTAAACAACCACCAATTTTAGATGATGAAAGTTGCAAACCAATTTTGTAAAAGCTCTTCCGTTGGTTATTCAAATGGGAAGATCCAAGTAAAACGAAGGTCTTTATCTATTGAACAAAGCGCTACTACGTTCAAATTATGTGTAATGGCATGGACCGTTAAATATCATATTAGGTATGGAATCAAAAAACTGATTTATTTTGGTTCTAGTTTCTTTCAGCCGTTAGCCTTACAACATCATGTTATATCTACAACTTTAATATTTTAATTGCTATATAAAATTACTTCAATGTCATTAGAACATTTTATTGTCACTTATTGAGTTATTTTGAAATATTTTCTATGAATTCAGTTTTGGTTTCGGTTTAACAAATTTTGTCTTCAATGGGTGTATTGTTTTTGTCAATTAATAACATTTTTATAATATTATATATATATATATAAAGCAAAATGCAGAGAATGGTGAAACATTCAAAATACGAAAAAATGCCCTTGGTTAATGCAAACATTAAGAATTGAAATTATTAATTAAGTGAGGATAATATGGTAAATTTACACTTTTTCATATTTAAAAATTTTAAAATTAAAAGAAAAATCAGATAATGGATCCTCTTTTTATGAAACACAACTACCCATTATCTTTTTTAATTCTAAAATAAATTTAATTTTTTCTTTTAAAAAGCCTCTCGTAGGCGCGTAAGCGCATGCAGAGAGGCTAGTAAATATTATGTTGCAAAATGGGCAGAAAGGTTTATGAGATTTTATTGGTTAATGTGGTGAGCAAAAATACTCCCATAGAAATAAAATCCTGTAATTGTAATCTATTAAAATCATAAGTAAAATCATAAGTGAATAAAATCATAAGTAAAATCATGTAATTGCAATCTATTAAAATAATAAGTAAAATCATATAATTACAAATCCGGTTGAAATCCATTACATTAAAATCATGTAATTACAATATGTTAAAATCTCAATTGAATACACCCCCTAAAGCACACTTTGATCTCAGATTTTTTTGTGTTCACCGACTTTTCGGTTTGCACATTCATTAATATTCTAGACTTTTCTATATTTTAACAGGGGGTTTTCTCATCCTTGAGAAGGAGACCGGTATTGACTTGTCTCGAGTTATCAAGTGATGCAAATTGAATCAACATTTATGAGTGTTGACCAAATGCTTGCCCATTTTCTCAAACTCCTATTAAGGATGAGCTTGGAACACAAATCGTACATAAGATTTAAAGCTAAAAAGAGTAGGCAAATCGAAAGAGAAAAACAGTAATTTAAATATATGTGAGAGTGCATGAGACAAACCCAGGTAGCTTAACAATGATGACAAACCAGAAGCACCTTCTATCTTTCTTCTTCATTCTTTCGTTGGCCGGGCTTGGGAGTATCCAGCTTTCAATGGCAAAGGAGGTGATACGAATACCAGTTGGGGTAGTTCTTGACTTGAATTCCTCTGTTGGAGCGATTGCAGAGAGCTATATGACCATGGCACTCTCAGATTTTTATGCTAAGCATGCTCATTATCGAACAAGGCTTGATCTTCGCACCCGGGATTCAGCGGATGATATTGTTACTGCAGCATCTGAAGGTGGATTAGACACTACCTTCTTTCCAGCTATATATTTTTGGCCACACACACATACACTCAGCCTTTTGATCTTAGCTAATTAATTTAATTCATTCACCATTTGTCTGTTGAATTCATGCAGCCTGGTATATGATGAAGAAAGAAAAAGTGCAGGCCATCATTGGACCTCAAAGGTCAGCAGAAGCAAAGTTTGTGATGGAGCTTGGCAGAAAGGCTAAGGTTCCCATCATTTCATTCTCTGCCACCAGTCCCTCTCTTTCTCAATCTCGTAGCCCATTTTTTATCCGGACAGCCTTTGATGACTCTGCTCAAGTAAAAGCCATAGCTGCCATAATTGAATCTTATGCCTGGCTGGAAGTTGTTCTCGTCTATGAAGACACCGATTATGGCAATGGTTTAATTCCATATCTGGTAGACGCTTTCCAGGACGTTGGTGCTCGAGTTCCGAACAGAAGTGCCATTTCTCTATTTTCTAGTGATGCGGAAATTCTAAGGGAGCTTGGCAGGTTAAACTCAACTTCAACAAGAATATTTCTGGTGCATATGACTGCCTCCCTTGGGTCCAAATTCTTCATACTAGCAAAGAAGATAGGTATGATGAGCGAAGGGTATGCATGGATTGTTACAGAAGGGCTATCAACTTTGTTAGATCCTGTGAGTTCGGAAGCCAAGGATTCAATGGAAGGTGTGTTGGGAGTAAGGCCACATATACCAAGCACAAAATATCTTAAAGACTTCATGAAAAGATGGAAAAAAGCAAACAAGATGACTGCAGGCCCCAATCTCTTTGGACTATGGGCATATGATACAGTTTGGGCACTGGCAATGGCAGTGGAAAAGGTTGGAATAGAAAATTATAGCTCTATGAAACGAAATGTTAGCACGAATCCTGCAAGCTTGGGAACCAGTGCCATGGGTAAAACTCTTGTTGAAACAGTCCTAAGTTTAAAATTTCGAAGCTTAAGTGGGAATTTTCAGCTAGTCAAGGGACAGTTAGAAGCTTCAGCCTTTGAGATATTCAATGTGATTGGCAATAAAGAAAGGATTATTGGATATTGGATTGACCAACAAAAAGGGCTGTCAAGGCAGCTCAAGTTTGACAGCAGTGAAGCGGCAAACACAGATGTAAAGAGGAAACTCAAGCAGGCAATCTGGCCAGGGGACACTACAGACCGGCCTGCAACAAAGAAACTGAGGATTGGAGTTCCAGTGAAAGAGGGTTTTAATGAATTCCTAAAAGTGGAAAAGAACAATAACATATCAGGATTCTCTGCTCTAGTGTTCTTTGCTGCAGTGAATAAACTACCATTTCCCCTTCCCCATGACTTCCTTCCATTCAATGGGACATATGATAATCTTCTTTGGCAAATCAAAGCAGGGGTAAGTTTTATTTTACAGGGTAAATTAATGGTCATCCTCTCGTTCTCTCTATCTCCTTCTCTAATGTACTTTTCAATTGGTGATTTAAAATGCAGAAGTATGATGCTGTGGTGGGAGACACAACAATTGTAGCTAATCGCTCATTGTATGTAGATTTTACATTGCCGTATTCAGAGTCAGGAGTGTCAATGGTAGTTTTGGTGGAAAATAATGAAAGAGGCAATATTTGGATTTTTTTGAAGCCGTTAAGTTTGGATCTTTGGCTGACAACTGGGGCAGCCTTCATATTTACAGGTTTTGTGATATGGGTTCTTGAACACCGGGTAAACTCTGAGTTTAGAGGTCCACCACAACAACAACTTGGCATGATATTCTGGTTCTCCTTTTCAACTCTTGTCTTTGCTCATAGTAAGTTCTCTCCTCCTTATACCAAAGCATTTGTTTTCTTCAAAATTCTCAATGAAGCTTGTAGTCTAATTAATAATGCTTTTTTAATGATATAGGGGAGAAAGTGGTGAACAATTGGTCAAGATTAGTGCTCGTAATTTGGGTTTTTGTGGTTCTTATCCTGACACAGAGTTACACTGCAAGTTTAGCCTCAATGTTAACAGTGCAGAGATTGCAGCCTGTATTTACTGATATAAGAGAGATCAAAAGGAATGGTTATAATATAGGATATCAAAAGAATTCATTTATTAAAGGGTTTCTAATGGACAATTTAAGGTTTGAAGAATCCAAGTTGAAACCTTATGTAACCATTGAGGAGTATAACCATGCACTATCCAGAGGAACCAACAATGGTGGAGTTGCTGCAATTTTCGATGAAATCCCTTACCTTAAACTGTTCATTGCAAAGAATTGTTCCAAGTACACCATGGTTGGACCAACCTACAAAACTGACGGATTCGGCTTTGTGAGTTCTCTGTCTTAATTTTCTTTGATTGAATTGTTATATATCCATAAAAACCAGAGTGTACAGTGCTGCAACAATGGTTCCATTTCTTATATCCATATGCTAAATTGGTTTTTTTTGCCTTCTAATACATCAGGCCTTCCCAAGAGGGTCTCCTCTAGTCTCCTACATGTCAAGGGCAATCTTGAATGTCACTCAACATAAAGATACGATGGATTCAATTGAGCGGAATTACTTCACAAACCAAACCAGCTGTGATGATCAAAGTGCCAAAATTTCTTCAGATGGTCGAAGCCTTCACGTGTCCAGCTTCGGGGGACTCTTCATCATCGCAGGTGTAGTCTCCATGTTTTCACTTTTGATGTACTTGTACCGTTTCCTTTGCTCACAATGGCCTACTTTGAGGACCACGATTCATTCTGAGAACTCATTTCGGTCGAAAATGGTTGAATTGGCAAAGCATTTTGACAAGAAAGATCTCACTTCGCATCCTTTTACGCGAAGAACATCCAGAATACATGCTGTGGATACTCCTGATGAGACAGCTATAGGAGGTGTACATGATGCAAATGATATGCAGAACAACTCAGCAGTGGAGAACAATATTGATGTGAATGAAAATGAATCAAATGATGGAAATATCTTATCAGGGCATACTGATTCATCTATCCATGTACCTAACTTGTCATCATAGGCTTCCTATATTTCCATTTTAAACCTATAAGTTACAGTAAAACTATGTGTAAACGTCATGATATATTGTTGTTCATTCATATATCTCACATCATTACTTTATTATTTATGTACAGAAATCTAATAAATACCCACAAGAAAGCAATTTTTGGCTTCTAATGAAATTTATCCCAAAACAATTAGAATTATGTCCAAATGAAATGCTGAAAGATCCACAATCAGCTGAGCCACCATTGTTCGTCCCTCCTGAAGGTTTCTAGGTAATGTCGAAAAAAAAAACCCCTTCTCAATAAGGTTTCGAATCTAAATTCATGGATGGGATTTTGTGTATCTTTGGAATATGTATAGAGCTTCATTTTTAAATTTCTTATCAATCCGAAGTCAAGTCAACTGTAAACTTGCAAAGAACTTGATGGTGAATAATAGCCTAGCTAGAGCCCACTTGGTTGTCAGTTAATAGCCTAGAAGCTTCTTACTGAAACTTGCAATTGATTAAAGCAACCCCATTTATACTGCTTTTGGTGAAGTCGTACACATCATGATGGTAATGTTTTGGTAATTTGATTTCAGGTTTGTGTTTGATGATTTGATTTAAGAATTTGATGTTGGTTTAAAGACGACTTAGGATCGTCCAGTCTACCAATTTAAAATATGAATGTTTCGATTATAGGGTTATACCTATTAATTACAAATACTTGTCCTCTACTTATTTAGTCTAGCAACATTAGTTTGGAATTTTATAAAATAATTAACTGGGCACCACTACAGTAGTGGTGATTAGACCTGGTAATCATTTTCCTGAATGAGTCAAAAAAAGAAACTCCAAATTCCAAGCATGCAGGCATGCAATGCAAGGCCAGAATGTGTTAATGATGAAGATATTTTCATTTGTGTCGTCTTCCAAGCAAATACAGATATCTTTTGCCACCGTTGAAGACATGTATATTTGCATATTTAGTCATCTTGTTGTGAAGTGTCAAGTGCATCGAAAAAAATATTGTGACATTTCATTTCTTACACAATTTTCAAAATGGGTCTATAACCATCCAAATAATAAGTTTCATAAACAGGTCTATTTTCATAAGGTGTCTCTTTAAAGTGGAATTGATCCTTTGTTTTTTCCTATAACCATTAAGCCGTGTAAGCCATGTGCCGTGTGGAATACAATCTTGAAGAGCAAATTTATTTGAGGAACAATCTTGAAGAGCCCACCCCACATTGCAATTATCCAATTTGTCTAAAATTTTCAATTCCAACATTCATTTCTTTCGTTGATTATTTCTTTCTTGGGAAGTTGGTTTCTCGTTTTATTTTAGATGAATGAATTCCGATCTCATTAATGTGATTAAATTAAACTTGATGATGATGATGGTTTTAATGTGGATCGCGATGTTTCTGACTTTTTGATATATGAAACAGATCGGGATCTTGTGTGTGTTTTGAAACTAGGAAAAACATCATTACTTTATTATTTATGTACGGAAATCTAATAAATACCCACAAGAATGCAATTTTTGGCTTCTAATGAAATTTTTCCTAAAATAATATGAATTATCTCCAAATGAAATGCTGAAATATCCACAATCAGATGAGCCTCCATTGTTCGTCCCCTCCCTCCTGAAGGTTTGTAGGTAATGTCGAAAAGAAAAAAAATATACCCTTCTCAATCAGTACAAGTCTTTATTCTAGCAGCGCTAGATAAGGTTTCGAATCTAAATTCATGGATTGGAATTTGTATATATTTGGAAGGGGAATATGTATAGAGCTTCATTTGTAAATTTCTTATCAATCAGAAGTCAAGTCAACTGTGAAGTTCATATTAATTGAGATAGCTGAATAACCACTCCAACGAACTTGGTTGTGAGTTAATAGCCTAGCTAGAGCCCACGTGGTTGTCAGTTAATAGCCTAGAAGCTTCTTAATTCAATTCATAATACATATATATTTATATATCTTCATTTTGTTTTCTAAGTCAGCAAAGGCAAAAGTTTCGTTGTTATTGGGCATCGCAGAGCGATTTGTTTATGTGGTATATGTTTTGGTAATTTGATTTCTAGTTTGTGTTTGATGATTTGATTTAAGAATTTGATGTTGGTTTTAGAGATAACTTAGGATCGTCCGCTCTAACATGTTAAAATATGAATGTTTCGATTATAGGGTTAGAGCATCCACAATGGGCTCTCTAAATCACCTCCTTAGATAAATTTTAGGGAGGAATTAGAAAAATACAACTCCAACAAGTCTCTAATTAGTCAACTACACTAATTAGAAAGTAAATCTCATAATTGACACTCAGTCATTCCTATTAATTACAAATACTTGTCCACTACTTATTTAAGCCATCCCCAATGGGGGCCTTAAATTGGGCTCTACCTTCTTGGGGCTCATAAATATAGAGCCCAAGTGCAAGAAGGCATCCCCAATGGAAGAATTTTCAGGCTCTATATCTTAAAACTGACCGGAGATCATCCTAAATCTATGGACTTGTAGGGGTCGTTTGGTACGGCGGACTGTCTTGGACTGGACTAAATCCTAGGACTGTCTCGGATTAGCTCGGATTGGACTAAGCTGGATTAAGTCCAGACCTACGTTTGGTGCTGCGTCGGACTAAGAAGCTGGATTGTAAAAATAGTGAAGACCTATGTTTGGTGTTGTGTCGGACTAAAAAATAATTATTTTATATTTAAAAATAATAATTTTTAAATAATTAAATGTAAGTTTTTTGGTTATTAGAATTACCAAATTGACATATATATATATATTTCTTTTCCTCCAAACCAAATTCAAATGTACATTTTCCTCCAAACCAAATTCACATGTACATTTCATATGCGCAAAAGTTAGAAATTCTTCATATATGCCAAAGTCATCTACATGACATAGAAATTAGAGGTTCAGTTCACTATACACAATTCTACCATTAATACATACAAATAAACATCCACAATTTCAAAATGAAACTAATAAGCCCCACAACCATGAACCATCTAGCTTTAATGCTAGCAAAATGTTATACAATTTGTGGTGTTTCCAAAATGAAGCCAATCTTGTGAATGCATCATTTGTGGTGTTTCAAAAAAGATAGATGCATCAAACTTAGTTAGGCCATGTCCTCAAGTATTGTCACTAAGCAACTGCTCAACAAACACTTTCTTGATATCGTCATCCAAAGACATGAATATAGATATATTTTGTGGCTTCTCCAAAATGAGTTTTAGTGCTGCAATTTGATCTAAAGGAGAAAATCCCATTTTCTTGAGTTCTTTGGCAATATCAGATCGATCTTCATTACCTTTTATTATAGCCTCAGTCACCATTTGCATCCTTTTCCCAGATGCTTCAAATAATTTCTCCAATACAGTCACAATCTTCTCTTCATCACTTGAGCTTGCAGCTCTTTTCCTCTTATTTTGACTGTTCATGGATTGGCTTCCTTCTCTGTTTAAAGACATAGGAGATGCATCTTCCTGGACACAATTATCACTAGCATTAACTTCATTATTGCTTTGCTCTTCCATCATGTCAGCAGGGGCTTCAGCTCTTTGTCCGTTAGCACGATCCTTTCCAAAGATATTAGAAAGTCTATCAAACAAAGGAAATGGTTTGATCCTCCATTCAGCTGCTTCCTTGTGGTGCTATGATAAAACAAGGCACCACTTAGCTTATTTTCAATATGTAAAAAAAAAAGTAACAAAAGCAATTTTAAAATCTACACTCAACAAATCCACTTGACATCTTTATGTAAGAAAAATAGTAAAAATAAGTAATCCTGTACTTGCACATAAGTCTCCCATGCATCATTATTGTCAACCTTAACACACTTTTTTATATCATTCCAAGCAAATCCACTTGTGTTTATCATGTCATAGACTATACTATATTGCTTTTTCCACTTCTTCAATTTTGATTCAATATGAGGGCATGCCTTTAGCCCCGAATCAGGACATTTAATATTCAAAGCCTTCTCCATTTGGACCACAGTACCAGATTTGAAACTACCAGTCTCACAGCGGTGGCCTGCAGCCACAAAATCATCTAGCACGTTCAAAAATGCATCTTCTTCAAACTTGGACCATGACCACCTAGTTCCTTTCTTTCCTTGTTCAAAGTTTTGACTGTTACCTTCACTTTCCATCCCTAAGAATAATCAACACAAATAAAATAATACCACAATCAATAATTGGAATCTGCAAAGAAAACATAACTTTGTTTCAAAGCATGACTCTTCTCTAGTACATCACATAACCTTAAAAACAAAATGAAAAATAAAATCTGCAAATAAATTGATAAATTGACTACAATACCATAATCAATACATTGTTAAGGCTGAATTATCATGCCTCAAATACAAATTACAATCACATAAAAAAGAAATCACCTTAAGAACTCAAACATAAATAACAAGAGTTGGCTAGTTATTCGCATTTCCTTGCCACTCATTATACATTTCGAAGGCCAAGTCATTCCTCCAAGTAGTCCATTCATCCGATGCTCCAATGGTGCCAACCATATCACCTTCTATCACATTTTCCATCTCTTCAATTTCAATTATTTCATGCTCTAGTGGATCTCTAGACATCTCCCTCCTAATGAGATTATGTAAAAGACAACAAGCCGTAATTATTCGACATTGTGTCTTTATTGGATAAAAAGATGGACTCCTTAGTATGCTCCATCTAGCTTTTAGCAACCCAAAACAACGTTCTATTACGTTTCTTGCTTTAGCATGCTTCATATTAAAATATTCTTGATGATTTACAGGTGTATTTCCTTCTCTCCATTCCAATAGATGATATCTTGTTCCTCTATATGGTGCAAGAAATCCCTCACCATTTGTGTACCCACCATCTACAAGGTAATAATAACCTAATAACCAAAAATAAAAATAAAAGAAGTCAATTCCTATTATTGTTTGGTATAATGATATAAACTTACAATTATTTATAAAGTGGACACTAGCTAATAGCCTTACCGGTAGGAACTCTTAATCCATTAGGCCTAGTTATGGCATCTCGAAGGACTCTAGAGTCGGATGCGGATCCCTCCCAACCCGGCAACACAAATATAAATTGCATGTCACGTGAGAAAACGGCCAACACATTTGTTGCAATTTCTCCCTTTCTAGTCCGATATCTCGGTTTTTCAGTTTCAGCTACTCGCACTTTAATGTATGTTCCATCTAGTGCTCCCAAGCAATTCTATTAAAATAAAATAAAAAAGGACAGGAGAGCTTTCATTAAGTTTATATGCTGCACATATCATAGAAAAGAAAGCCAAAGCATAATAAACATACCTTAAACCATTTCCATCTATTATCTGTGCAGTTATCACCTACAGGTTCCGGTACTCTCAATAGGCTACCTTGTAATCTTAAAATGCCTTGTAACACGGAATTGAAGTACCTACTAATAGTCTCTCCTGATTAAACAAATCTATTTCTAATAGTACGATTCTTAACATGATGAGCAAGCATATGCAAGAACATACATACTTGCTCCACCATAGTCACCAAACCATCATTCTTTAACCTTCCATCCGTGCGAAGCAAATCACATAATAAACCAAACGTCTTTAAATCCATTCTTAGTTCACTCACACATGCTCTGTCATTGCCTAATATACTGTTCAAATAACGTAATCGATTCTCATGTCTAACAAACGAACGGTTATTGAGGGAACGTCTTTCTAAAGTCTTCGATTTCTTCTCATATTTTTTAGCATCATAAGAACAAGAATCGTGCAAGCACACATGGTCTCTAAATGCCACATCTCCAACAATAATATCAACAACATTCGTCTTTGATCCATATCTATTAATAAAAAAATAAAAAAAAGAATTATTGCACTTAACAAATCCTACTGAAAGTGAAATAACCCCAAATTGAAAACAAAAAGTTTCATATGCAAATAGAAACATAACAATTAATGCAAAGCCATAATTCATACCATTTGCAAAGTATGGAAAATTCACCCCAAATGGACCAAAAATTATCAACCAATGTGTGCCTAATACCACAACAAATATGAAGAAAAGAGTTGTAGGATTATTTCACTTTTGGCCAAAAGATGCTGCTGCTGCTAATTAACACCATGTTATTTATTGCATTTTCTTATTTGAGAGACCAAAACCAAGTGACATTCATGCAGGATGCAAATTGCTCTATCAAATGACAGATACAATCAATCACGGGCAATTGCAAACTCCAAAACTATAAATCTTTCTCCAAACAAAAAGAAAAAACAGAGCATGACTTTGCTTTGACATGGCCAAAGAAAAAAGAAAAAAGAAAATTGAATCACCAAATCACCAACGAAGAAAAAAGAAAATTGGCAAACTCCAAAACTACAAATCTTCCTCTGTGTAATATTTTAGCACTAAATCACCAACCAAAATAAAATAAAATTCGCAGACCTAGGTAGTGCCAAAGTTAAGACAAAGGCCTGCAAATAATGACAATGGGGAAATAGGGAAAAAGATTATAAAAAAAAAAAAAGGAAAAAAAAAGGTACAGACATTCTTATGTTAGTTAATCTAATTGAATACAGTTTGAACGAGAGTAAGTTGAGGCTGCACTTCAAAACTTACACCTCAACTCAGAGTTGGGCATCCAAACTATTTCTTACCATCTCCAGATCTCGGAGTTTCACATGTATAGACCAATTAAATACATTAGATAGTAATGAAATCCATAAAAACTGAAACCACAAGGATGCATCATCCCACATGAACCAGTAAGTTCAATAAACTCAGGATTCATGTCAAAAGTCTACTCTACTTCTGAATTTCTAGGTTTTCTTAAATACCCAATTGCAAATTAATTGCCAATTAACATCAAGTATATATATGTCACTACAATAGATATGGATTCTACGAAAATTAGAGAAGAGAAGAAGAAAATAACAGAGAAAAGGAATGAAGGATTCTCAGAGCACACAATCAAAATTTTTGAGGACAATTGCAAAAATCAAAGAGATGGAAGAAGGGATGAGAGAGGTATCCAAAGGGAAAGACTAGAAAAACTTGCCTGGGTCAAGATTCGAAGAAGATGAGTCAATGTTGAACGAAGGAGAGGTGGAGTCGCAGAGGCGGAGTTGCAGACCACAGAGAGAGGCGTGTTCAATATAGCGAAGGCTTATTTTGCGAACCCATTTTTGGCTTCGCTGTATAGCGAGAGCGAGTGAGGCGTTTTTGGTACTGTTGGGCTCTACAATCCCACTTAAATTAGTCCCCTTTCTAACCAAACATGGGCTTCAGGTACAATATAGCACAGTCCTATCTAGTGAGCCCTACCAAACATGCCCGTATAGAGCCTTAGAGCCCCAGCGGGCCCCACATTTTCAAAAACTGAACCTGCAAAAGCATGAAAAACCAGCGGGCCCTACATACTGAAAAGCATTAAAAATTTCTTTTTCTGTTGCAACAGTCCTTTTTTTCCACTCATGTTTACTGTTTCATTTTTCTTCTTTTTTTTTCCTCTTTGCTTTCATTTTTTTTTCCTTTCATGGACATACTTCAATTGTTCTATGTTTCTAGATTTAAATATGCTTCCTTTTTTAAAGTACAAAATTGAAACATTAGGACTTTATATTTTATTGTGTTTACTTTCAAATTTTGTCTTTTTAATCTTTTCCAAATTTTGATTTTTTT